TTTTCGCATTGAAAATACAAAGTGGAGTGAACTCAGCATTCTTCATTCCATAAATCTTCAAGTAAGCCCAATTCATGCACCTTTGCAGTCGTTTTCATTGATTTGTGGCATTTTTATGGTGGAACAGCTCATCAATTTGTTGTTATTTTTGTTTGATTGTGAGCTCGTGCGGCGCTTTGAACAGAGCTTTTCATACCGAAATATTCATGCACGCTTACGATATCTTTAGAGCCTTAGCTATCTTAACTTCACTTTGAGTTCATTCAAAATTATTTTGAAGGGTTTTCTTCCGTTTTCTTCGGCAACAGCTTCTTTGGAGCGCCTACTGTGAGCATTATCCTTGTTACTCATTTAACCTCGTTTTAAATTCTAACGGTTGATTTTCCTGGAGCAAAGTTGTACTAATATTTATCAAGCCAAGCCTTTGCTTCAACATTATTTTTTCCGACTAAAAGCAATGCTTTACTAACACACGGAATTCCTTTTTATCCATTTTCTTCAAACTAATACAAGTTGCTTCTTTCTTATTAGTCAATGGGCTATGCTTGAAGACTGGCAATAAACAAATCTAAAGCAAATGGAACTTCAAACGTTCAAGCCAGTCTCTATATACCTACACAGTAGGTTTAATGGACTGACGCCTATCAGAAAACAACTACTCCCCTGGCTAATACCACGAAGGGCGTTGGATTATATCAGACAGGCGTCAGTGCAGGAATCTTCACAGAAAATGTCCTGCATATGCAATTGGCAATACAACTGAAAGAGTCGACCTTCAATTATGGAACGGGCACACTTGCAGACCGGTTTCGGGCTTATTAGCCACNCCTAAGCTGTATCTCCAACAGGTACTGAGATTCCCATGCTTAGGATCCTTATCTTGGACACACTGTATACATCTGTTTAGTTCTTCAGTTTCAACAGCCAACAAATTCAAAATCATGAAAACTGTATCATGGAATGATAGGTAAATACCTACAAGGATATGAATATTTGGAAACCTTCATATCTCCCAACATACCTACACGGTAGGTTCTGGTAACTAATGGACACCAATATTTCTTGGCAGAATCATGTTGCTGGAATTGCAAAGGCTGCTTCTCAAAAGCTTGGAATACTTTTCCGAATTAGAAAACTGGACACACTTCAGCAATTTTATAAAGCTCAGATCTGCCCCCAAACATACCCTGAAGTTGCTGGATTCCATCCAGAAAAGAGCCTTCCGCCTGATTGAAGACGCGAATATCACGTGCAACCTTGATAGCCTGGAACATCGAAGAAAAGTTCACGGAAAGTGTTCGAGTGATTTGGCACATTTGATTTCACCAAGAGCGGTACATATCAGAAATACGCAACAGGCGACGGACTGTGGCTGCTCATCGTTTTGGGGTTCAACTCAGTACACCTCGAACTTCACTGGTTAGGAATTCTTCCATCTGGAGAACTGCGTTTATGTGGAATAAACTTCTTGAGAACGTTTTTCCAAATGGATTTAATTTCCAGCGATTCAAATCCAATGTGAATCGCTACTTTCGCATAGGCAAAGTGCCTTAAGGGAGTGCCTTCCCTAAATTTCACTCACACGAAAGAATATTTAAAGTCATTGATTCCAATGAAGTCAAAACTTGGGCGAGCTAAGGGTTTAAAATCTGTTCAAAAGCTGATTAACAGAAAAACATATTTTAAATAGATTTCAAACCCTTAGCTCGCCCAAGTTTTGACTTCATTGAAATCAATGACTTTAAACATTCTTTCGTTTGAGTGAAATTTAGGGAAGGTCGTCATTATCATTTTCTTCAAGGACAAAACACTACAGGAAAATCCTTAAGGATAAAAGGTAAGACCTCGTTAATCTTTAGCTCGCACAAGTTTCGACTTCAGATTTTGAACAGAAACAGACAGAGATACAGAAATAGGGTAGTATCTGCCTTACCTATTTCCTATTTCCTACCTATTTCTCAAGACTAAAATCTTATGCTGATGTCGGTGTGAAAGCTATTTGCCGGGTTTTCCGTAGGCTGCAGGTTTTTATGACTGGCCGTTCGTCTGTTACTACAACAAACATTATCGAAGGCGATGTGCTAACGGTATCAACGGTTCAAACGCAGTTACTGCGGAACAACAACTAGAGCACCAACTCGGGCACAGCGACCACATCGCCTTTGATAATATCTACCGTAGTAGTAGACGAAACGTCTACGTATTAAAACCTGCAGACCACGGTAAAAAAAACGAAAATAGCTTCCACGGCTCCGTCCGGACAAGTTTACATTCAGCGAGAATGTGATGGGATTGGCTGATACTTGATGAAAATCTATAATGTTCTTATTCAAGTAACACTCCTTTCGTGAGATTTCCACTGAATAATTCACAAAACTGCACCATGTGCATAATAGCCTGATGTTGATTGCTGCTACTTTATGCTGATAAGGATGTGTCGAGGAATTATGTATGACAATGTCCGTAACAATATTCTTGCTCTTTATGTATTGTTTTTATCATTTTTGAACTATTTTTGAATTATTGTTGTAATGTTAATTTACTTTATTTTGAGGGTGTGCATTATTTAATTTCATTATACTCTGTACAAGTTGAATTTCCTACCTTTTTTCGGTCAAGCGCATGTGTGAAGGAAGAGATGGTGTAGTTGGCTGAATGTTATATAGTGCTTGCTCACAGTTAACAATTTTCCGCAGTTTATAGTGAAAATCTCGATGGAGTGTTTTTCACCGCTTGGACACAACATAGGAAGTTTGCGGCATCATCCTGCACATCATGGAGACAAGATCAGTGCATATTCAACTTGTTTTCTGACGCTTCGCAAAATCGTTAATCATCTTATTTTACTCCGAAGTATAACCTTCGTCCTCGCACTGATGATGTCTGCTGCAGTAGCGAACGAAACGTTCGGTACTTCAGGTTTCATAAGACCACAGCTAACCAGCCATATAGGCTACAATTCACAAAGGTTATGTGTACTTCTTATATTAAATAGTTCTAAATGAAAGTTCGCGATAGCATATATCTACCTCATTTCAGAATCTTCTGTTTTTAGTAAAGGACTCAATCCAATTGAAGGCAATACCCCTAATGCCGTATGAATACAATTTTTTTAACAGGATCATGTGGTCGACGCAGTCAAATGTCTTACTGAGATCACAGAATATCCCAACAGGGCATTCGCCACATTCGATACTTTCCAAGATTTTCTTATAGAATGCTGAGATGGCAGTTATGGTGGATTTTCTAGATTGGAATCCGTGTTGAGAAGAAGAAATAATTTTATGACTCTCAACAACGTTAACGTTCAGCCGAAGCTACTGAATATAAAATCTTGAAATGTGCAGGTAAGGTAGGTTCTTTGTATAGCGTGAATAAGCATCAAGAAAGGGAATAAGGATTTCCATTTCCAAGAGGAAATAATGGGGATTCAAATATTGTAATGAATTTCGTCAGTTTTGAAGTTGCAAACCTGAAGTTTTGGGTTAATAAAAAAATATTGTAACTATTTGTTGAAAATGGACTGTCACGAAACTTAATGTGTCAAACAAAATTGTACGCGGGCAAGAACTAATCAAATCTAAAAACTTCAATGAATTGTTTACATCAATTTCAGTGGTGAATTCAATCGATGATGAATGGAATAAACAAATTTGAAAAACTTGTCCAGGTGCCTACCTGCACCAGACTATGATATCATCCACGGATCTGTACAACAAAATATTGAATGAGTGTTCAATATGAATTTCATTTCCAAGGACGACAACAAAAATTTTAGGACTCAACGGGTTTCCCATTATAAGTTCTTAGCTGCAGTATATTGAAAATCATTTCTAAATATGGAAATATTAAGTTGCTCTAGAATTTCCTGTTTAAATTGGAGGAATATTGAGAAATTAATTTAGGGAATCACACGATATAAATTTAGTGTTATCAGGAAGAGTTATGTTTTCAATGTTATTTACTAATCGATATGCAATATTTATACTCAATCTTGGTTTGAAATCAGTGTGAGTTTCAGTTAATTGCATGAGCATTTCTGATATTTCTTGTTGCTTGTCTTATTTTGAAATATCTCTACTATAAGTCATAAAAAAGTACAGTATTCCACTTGGGAAAATGACTATTACTTGCATGGATGATTTATGACGCGAAATGAAGGTGACGAACTTCATCCTCACGAGCAAAGGCCACATTTCTCGTTCGTTGAATAATATACAACTAGCGACTTGCCCCGGCTCCGCACCGGTGCAATGCTGATACTAAATATAAATTCACCCACCGGAAATACAAGGACATGGAGAAACAGTGATGGAAAGATAATTTTGTTTATTGAACGAGACTTTTTTCTCCGCGGTTGGCGCCACAGTTCGAATATTTGAAAATATTTTCTTACTGCACATCTACAATATGAAACGAACCTACGTACAAAATTTCAGCCTCCAGAAATACAGCGGTACGGAGAAACAGCGATGAAAAGGTAATTTTCATATGTAAACGCGCCCCTTTTACCCCCACGAGGAGAGCCCCGTGTCAATTGACACGTCAAGAAGAGTACATCGACAACGCCACTGAAGATGATTGCCACAGTTACAGTCGAAACGTTTGGAGATTATAATCAAAGAAGGCTACGGCAAAACCCGAAATCCAACCGAAACGTTTACGCCAGCCGTGAAAGCCTACATTTCCATAATTGCATTTTCTTTTCATCATAGTTAATGTATGATATGATTTGAGCTTTGATAATGATAACAGTACAAACATCATCATACATTTGGCGTGAACGCTGGAATAAATTACATAGAATGAAATGTGTCAATGATATTCAACGAAAGTCATTTTTTGTGGAGGAAAAAATCAGTTTTTATCGACCTTTTTTTTGGGACGTTTCCATCAAAACCGTATTTATTAGAACGTCGACGAAAGTGGATAAAGGCAGTGAATCGTATTAAGTAAGTGTATATATGCTGACAATAAATATATGCTTATTATTTTATCAGTCCAGATGGTACCCCATGGCAGCCTACTCAAGAATATGTAGTCATTATTTTTTTGGAGGAAATAAATCTGAAGATTCTCGTCATCCAGCATATAATCCAACAATTTTTCCAACCAAGTATAAACGTAAGGAGCCTTCAACTGTGAACTTGGATCGATTCAATCGTTGGAAAAAAAATCAGTATCTGAAGTTTTACCTTGTGTTAGTGATGAACAAGAACTATTCAACAATTTATGTGAAAGTTTTCAGTCAACAAATATAAATGAAACTGTCACTAAATCAACGTCGAATGAATCAATTCAAGTGGTATAATTCCAATATATTAGTAATGCGTTTATTTTTTCATGTGACTTTGATCGTGGGTCAAATAATGTTTCAACTCAGGCAACAATACCATTTACTAATAATTCAAAAACTTACATAGTGACAAAAGATAAAAGTAGTGGACCTGACGTACCAATTTTACTGTTAGGATTTCGAGGATATGATTCTATAAAACATGATAAACAACTCTTGGCTGTAACTGGAGTTAAACCAGAAGTGTTTAAATTATTTTACCACCCATTAAAATAAAAAAAATAAACCTTGAAAATAAATTGTTAATTTTCTCAATTAAAATCAAGACAGGTTTATCATTTGACTGTATTGCTACTTTCTTTGATATAAACCCAACATGTATTTCTAGAATATTTCATGATGTGCTGTCTGTACTAGCACAAAAAACTTGAAATTTTATTTTCTGGCCAAGCAAAGAAGACATACAAAAAAATATGTCACCATCATTTAAAATGCATTACCCTAATTGTAAAGTGATAATAGACTGTACAGAAATTAAGTCCGAACAACCTAGTCTCGTGTTAATACGAAATCACATGTATTCTGATTATCAATCAGGATACACAGTGAAATTTTTACTGGGAATTAAACCTTCAGGAATGATATCATTTAAATCTGAGTGTTACGGTGGAAGAGCTAGTGACCCTATTATTACTAATGATAGTAACTTTTCAAAATTACTAGAACCAGGTGATGAAGTGGTGGCAGATAAAGGTTTTCCTGGAATAAAAAATTCTTTTGATGTACCAAATGCAATCATTGTAACACCTCCATTTTTGAATAATGGGCATTTAACTGAAGATGAAATAGAATAAACTCATAATATTGCAAGTGGAACGTTGTATTGCCAGAATCAAAGTGTACAGTATCTTGGATAAAATAAACATTGATCTTTTACCAGACATTGATGATATAGTTCACATACAGCAGGGCAATTGTATTGCCTGTCAGTAACATTTCGATCAACATCAATCTGAAATATTAAAATAACCTTAATACTTACAACTTTCGAATGAAATATATTATTAACAATTTTAAGAAAAATAAATCAAAAACTTACATCAAGTGTAACATCATAATGCAATTTAGTTTCAGTCTGACGTCTAACTTTTGCTTTAATCAAACTAGTAAGTCCAGACTTCCATTCTTCAACATCTTTCACATGCCTACTTANAAAGTTTTATAGCTGTATTGTTTTTCTTCAGATACAAGGTGGGTTAGTCGAAAACATCTTAAACTGCCAGTTTTAGTTTGGTTTTTGTTATTATATCATATTAGCTGTCCTCTCTGTATTTCAGTTCTCTAATGAGGGTCAAACTTGCAGTGAGCTATCAACAAATTATGAACGGACTATAGATGTGGTTTGGTGAAAATCTCACAATAAAGTTAATTAAATATGTTTATCAAGTGTTTTATTTCAGCAATATTTTGGTTAATAATATGTGCTGAATCATTATTACAGATCATAAAGTGAACTAGTATGATAAACAGCAAATCAAACATTGGAATCTGAAAAAAAAATCTGGATATAAACGACGGTAGGAATCAGTTCTATTGCCCATATTCTTGGAATCAGGTAGACATCCCTATTGCCAAAGGTGCTTCATCCTAACGATTTGTACTCTGTATTTTCCTCTTTTTTTTTCAGATAACCGACTCGCAGGATGGCCGTTGATGTCGAATCCCCTTCTGATAATGGCAATAACCATTTTGTATATCTATACTGCGAAAGTGAGTTGTACTTTTTAGTTTTCATTGGTTTTTGAAACATATAATGGCTGAAGGAAAATAATACTAATAACACTCCTGAGAGTTTCTGCGTTGAGAACAACTCGAGCATTTCGACGGGTACCTCATCGCTTAAGATAATATCTAACGCAGAAGTAGAAGAAACGTCGGAGAGAAAAACCACGAATATTACTGGAGTTTTTTCCCAACAACAAATCGTTATTTTTAACACCTCGACACGTGTTTCGATCACCAAGTGATCATCTTCAAAGAGGAAGATTGAAACTGAAGAAGATCACTTGGTGATCGAAACACGTGTCGAGGTGTTAAAAATAACGATTTGGTGTTGGGAAAAAACTCCAGTAATATCCATTACTACATCAAAGGTTCCAAACAGTGCATCATAAGTACTTTATACCACGGCCAAAACAACTGGAAAATAGCTTCGACACCCCTGAGATATCTATTTATTGCTTTACAATGGAACAAAAAGTTCACAAACTTCGAGTTATAAGCTTGTGAAACTTGAAAACACCAGTATTGGTTGTACGTCATAATTTTTGTATAAAGATGTGGAAGTAGAAATCAAAAACATCTCTTTCCCAGAAGAATAATCTCTCCTGAAAATATACCCCTTACAATTTTATTCATCTCTCAGGCGATGTGATAACAAATCAGTAACACTGGATCTTCTTCTGACAGATGTAATATAGTTGAAAGCCATTATTTTTTAATATACGTCATTTGTGATTATTTTTTTCATATTTCAGAAACTCGGACCAGCGTTGATGGAAAACAGAAAACCTTTCAATCTCAAGAAAACGTTGTTTGTGTATAATTTGATGCAAGTTATATTCAGCTCCTGGTTGTTCTATAGGGTGAGTAAATTATTATAATTTTCATTCCTCATTATTTTCATCTTTCACATGAGTTCAAGTTCGGTTGACGAATTGCAACGATTAGAATACTTCACAATACACGGCACACTTTCTTATTTAAGTGGATGCTTGAAACTCTTTGTTAATTAATCGTTTCTACAGATGAGGAAAATTCAATTTTCAGTTAGCTACTGCTGGATGGCTCACTGGAAAATTCAGTTTTATATGCCAACCACTCGATACTTCCACTTCCCCAGAAGCAATGAAGGTAGGTGGAGTAACCTAACCTAACCTAAACCTAGCATAAGCAAAACCTAAACTAACCTAACTTAACCTAATCTAACGTAACCAACAAAGTAGCTAGATTTTGAGATTTTTTTTGACAAGTACTTTTTTATCTTACATAAAAAATTGTTATTTTTTATTGAAAAAAGTATCCTATGTTACTTCTAATACCTCCATGAATATGTGGACAAAATTTCATGACGATCGGTTGAGTAGTTTTCGCGTGAAACTGTAACAAACAAACTCACATTCGCATTTATAATATTAGGTAGGGATGTGTAGGATTTTTGGGTTATCTTTATTTATCTTATGTTTTGATTCTTGAAGATGTTCATACGTTGTAGATTTTTTGTCCAAAGAGATTACTATACTTAACTATATTGTGTTTTCGGCAGTTTGAATTTACTCATAAGTGTTTTGTGAGTTTTACCTGATATTATCTTTTCTATTAGAGAAATTGTTACCTGATTGTTTACTGCAATTTGCTTCATTATTTTTAGTTCGTATTGGAAATTCNGATCTGAATTGGTATCTCAATGAACTGTGCGTAATGATCTGACAAACCTAAATGTATTACTGCTGTACTATAGTCATTATTACTGCTGTACTATAGTCATTATCCTTAGAGGCGAGAAAATTATCAATGCATGTACTCGAGGTTGCCATCACCCTTATAGGCTCAGTAATAGTTCTAATCATATTAAAACATTCCAAAAGATCCAGTACTCTGAAATTGTGAAAAGAGCAATAATGTGGATAACTTTGATCATTCTGTAGTTTACAACTTTCGGTAGCGATATGTAATATCTTGAGATATGAGATATGTGGAGATATGTTGACAACACCTTCATAATATGGAACCATAGGAATACTGAACTAGACGCCTTCCTGAAACACATCAACAGCGTGAGACCTTCCATCAATTTCACAATGACTGATTGTTTACTGCAATTTGCTTCATTATTTTTAGTTCGTATTGGAAATTCTTTTCAGGTAAAGGGATTGCGAAAGCTCTGTGTACCTAAATCTGTGGACCTAAATGCGGTCCAACCCATTTTCAACATCAGAAACAGCAAACTCGGTTTTCAAATTAGATATTGAAGAAAATATTGTGGTTGTGGATTGCGTAGTTTAGGAGAAACAGACAACGTTTTGCAAAATTAGACAACTGTTTTTGGGAAAGAAAGTTTTTGGCTTTCTACTACCCCATCTTGATACAAAAAAGAAGGATGAGGGAGTCTTCCAAAGAAAGGAAGGAAGTAACTCTATACATGGATGTGTAGATCATGCAAAGAAGTAACTTTCAGACACAAACTGAAAGAAAGTCCTCCAGAAACAGGAGACAGTGTTAAGAATGAAAGCAGTTGATTTTTTATATTCAACTCATAAAGCTTGCTAAAACTTGATAGAAGACTTATTCCTCTGTAGTTTTCAGTGAACTGGAGGTCACCTTTTTTATAAACTGGGTTTAATAGCCCAGACTTGAGTTTGTCTGGAAAATTTCCTTTTTCTAGTGACAAATTTATTAGAGAAGCCCACATGAATACATGTTTTTCAGGTTATGAATCAAATCTAATACCTCAAATTCAGAAATTGGGGAAAAATAGTGAAGTTGAACAAATAGGTATTATTTTTTGCGTGAATTAAAGATCAAGTCCGACTTTTCCTGGAGTGGGTGTAAAATGATTATTGAATTTCCCGACCATTTCTCTAGTGGATAATTCTGTTTCGTTCTCTTTTAAGGAAATTTCTGTTACTTGGTTGGGTTTCTTTTTTATTTGGTTAACCAACTGTCATCTGGTTTTTGTTTTATTAGTTGCAACGGTTGCCTGTATCTTTTTGTTATTTGCGGGCTGA